TGGGGTATGAATACTTTCGCGAGGCACTGTATATATATATATATATATATATATATTACCATATTTTAATTATTTCAGTAAAAGTGAATAATTCTGCAAAAACTGTGTAGTTTTTCTATATAGTGATTTTCTGTTAACTAAGTAGCATTTTTGCTTTCTTTTAAAATTATGGGGAAAAATTGTGTGTGTAATGCACACAAGTGCATAACTTTGAGTCTATATCTTCCAGTGTTGTATTAAGACAATCCCAAGTGTCAGACCGTTGCGAAAACAGAGACAGAAAATAAAATGCATTGTTGTGGAGTGTATCACTCAATGGGATAGGTTAATGTTTACACCAGACTGTATTCAAGAGAAAGTGATAACGATAAGGCAAATAAAGATCTGGGCATGGCACTAACTGCACCTGGGTTGAACCACATTGAAATTTTAATCACCTGACCCATTTAACCTGTAGCTTTCCATTGATTAATGATTGTACTTACATCTTTGGCTTATGGCATGAGAATGACAATTACACAAAGCCATTCTGGTGGGATCATATAACTGAGCTCAATATCATTGCATTTCTTATTGAAGGAAACCAGACTGATAGAACATCATCTGTTCTTATTCACACAGATCCTTAGTAAACACTTATTCAGTAGTATGAGCAATTGATTGAAAGTAATAATCTAATACAAGACGTCTGCATAAATTTAGTCATAAATGATTAAACATTTCACATTATGTCTTTTGTCCTACTGTATGTTTATGCCAATAGCACATCTTGTACCTGAATCCTTTCAGATAAAGATTTTGAGGAAATTAAGAGTGTGGCTTCAAGGTCTGTGCAGCATTCTCCACGGCCAACACATCCATCACACGCAGCTGTGAAACTCTACATGGATAAAACAAAAAAATGTTACATCACCGAGTCTGAAAAGTCTCAAGAAAAATGAACTAAAAAAAAAAAAAAAAAAAAAAAAAGAGAGACTTCTGAAATAGCCTTGGACAAACTGCCTTTAGGAAGTGAACAGATGATCTGCCACGTCTCAGACTCAAATGTTTTTCACTTGGGAATAGAAATTCTTGTGGAAGCCTAGATATTTGACTATGCTGCTATCTTTTTCTCCTGGAAACTATAAAACCACATGCTCAGGTCCCTGTGGGAGACCTAAAAAATTGAGAATGAAAGTGGCATGAATGAACAGACTGCGCCATCTGCTGGTTGCAAAACACTGGACACCATCATAAGCAGGTTTAGTAATTGCTGGAGCACTTTTATTGGTTCAGAAATGCAAAATGTCTGACAAATTTGGAGGGCATTTGATCCATCCAGAACCTCGGCTATTGACCAACTTCACTGAAAGCCTGTCCAGTTTCTTCATTTCAAGTCTTGAGGTCATAACTAAAAAACTATTAATAAAAGTGTAAAGAATAATACAAATGACAATAGAAATCCCTTTGAAAACCAAAGTAAACAAAACAGGCATTTTCATATTTTCACATGGCAATAAATATGGACCATAGACTTTCTATCTGTACAGAGACAATTTATCATTTAATCACTTGTATTATAAAAAATATGACTTCAGTGCAATTTCCCTGCAAGGCTCTCTGCCGAAACCTGTTTCTTGTCTATTCAACAGCATTGCCTGTCTCATTTACCCTAACGTATAAAGAAAATCCTCCTGCTTTTCAAATACCAGCTCATTTGCACAAAAAAAAAAAAACTATATTCATAAAAAGAATTCACAGCTTTTCATCTTTGACACTTCAAGCAGTAAATCTGGACAGAAAAAGGCACACATCACTAGAATTTGCGCAATACTGGACAAGAGACGAAATATTGGAATTACTCTTGATTTAAGTTTTCATCTTGGTCACTTAGAAATGTATTAATTGAACATGTATTTACAAGTACATATACATATTCAAATAGATATATTAAGACTGCAATGTCAATAAAGATAGGAGGGACAGACTTAATCGATTTACAGAAATATTTTTTTCCAAGAAAAAAAAGTGCATCATATTACAATCTTGAATATTGCAGAACAAACATTTACCAAGTTACCAATAGTATTGAAAATGTTGTATATAAAAAATAAGCGCATTACAAAACAAAACAATAGTAGTATTAGCAGTAGAAAGCATTTTACCATTGTGCACAGAGGCTTTTAAGTGCTATCTTGATCACCTTCCTGGCTCTGAGGAGCACTGCCAGATCCTGAACATCCTTCTGAAAAAGAGCCACGTCCCCTGAGTGGCGCCGCTACAGGCTTTTCCGTCTCACGCAGCTGTCTGTTTTCACGTGAAGAACTTGCTCTTTCCCCCTGTGAGATCCTCTCAGCTCCTGCATCGCTGTCTGTCAGTGCTTTCCTGGATGTTTCGGGACTGAAGGTGTGAGTCTTTGTGGCAGACCTCGAGTCGCCATATTGCTTTCTGACCTTTGCAGTCCGTTGCTCCCCTACACCTTGTTGTAAAGGGGGGAGTTTAGGTAACATCGAACTAGTACTTGGACAAGACAGGTCAGACCGGCTGGATCCCTCATCTTGGCTTTTTGTCCTTTTGTCTGCCAGAGTTCTTTGCGGACTGGTTTCCGGAAGCGAGATCCATGGATAATCCCTCCTGGTGAGGGAAAAAGGGGAGTCCTCTTTGGGAGAGGTGGGCGAAGGGGTGGAGGATGACTGTCGTTCCCGTTTGGGGCGTGATCGGGGTCTGAGCTGCACCATTTGGATGCCCCCAATGGGAATCATGTGATAGGGCGTGCGGGCTTGATCTTGGGAGTGTAAAGGAAGGTGGCTAAACATGCGGTCCACGGTCCGTGGTGTCACAAGAGGGAAGGGAGGGAAAGACTCACTTGGAGAGAAGTGTAGAGATGGGGAAAGCAGGCAGGGATCTGGGGGCATACGCTCCTGTAGAGATGGAGTACCAGGCTTGTCCTGTAGGGGGAGACGTGGCATTGCAATCAAACTTGTATATTCCTTTGTTTCACGAGTGTTCATTTTTATACTGCTTTTTTTTCTTTCTTTTTTTTTTACTCTGACTAAAATGGTTTCTAATTTTAGTCAACGAAAATCATTTAGCTGACAAATCGGACACATTTGTAAACTAGTGTAAAAGAGTAATACAATGTTTGGAATTCATTGTTGAATCCCTTGTTGAAATCCTTGTCCATGTTTTAACGTATTTTTACAGAAAGAATGCATTTACAACATGACTCACATTTTACTGGGATTCACTGGATTCATGGATTATTCTTCTTTAAAAAACATTTTTTGTGCATTGTTAATATCATTCAGTGTTTTTGTTCATAATATTTTCCTCAACAGTATATATTCTTAATTTAACTTTTTTTTTTTGTTTAAATATTTTTATAATTATCATCACAATTTACATTTTTTTTGTTCACAAAATCCAAAAACATCTGTCAACATTTTGTTGATGAACATTGCTTGCTGACATTGGCATTTTGAAGCTAAATAATAGAAAAAAAATCCAACATAAGTGCAATTTTATCCCAAGTTTGCCTTTACTGTGATACATACAACCATGTTGCCACATTCACGTTCATCTGTTTCTGAGAAAACGGCGCTTTTATCTAAAGTTTGCCTTTGCTAGTTAGGATTTAGTAACGTAGGTAGTACATTAATTTTAAACGCGACAAAGCACTTTTCATTTCTGACCTCACACCTTATGTACAGCAAACAACACGTTAAAATGTTGCCACAATCGTGTTAATCTGTTTCTGAGAAAACTGCACTTTCATCTCACGTTTGTCTTTTCTGGTAGCTGCTGTAGGTATATTATTTTCAAACGTAACCCAGCATTAACCTTTCTTTTCACAACTGCCGTACAACGACCAACAATAAAATAATGCCACATTCACATTCATCTCTTTCTTGTACTACTAGCGCACTCACTGGACATTTCACTTTGAAAGTGCCACAAAACATGCAAGAAGAAATGTAATATCCTTTTGCAGAATTGTCACCACAGGCACGGTTTTCCAATAAGCCTGGATTGAAAACATTATTTAAATTGTGTTGTGTTACCCACCTCTTGACCCTCAGTAGCTGGTGTGCTAGGTTCCCAGTGGAGCCCTGCGGGTGAGCTGTGTGGCCGATGCTGGGGCTTTAGGGGCATATGAGAGGAGAGAGCTCTGGCACTCCTGTAGCGTGCCGGGGATACAGGCCTCAGAGGTGAGAGGGCTCTGATGGGTGATGGGCCCCTCTCTGGGGAAGGAGAGAGATGACGGCTAGGTGAGGACAATTCAAGGCTAGGAGACAGGCTTCTAAGGGGAGAGCCTTCACTGCTAGGGGAGAAGGTCCTCAGGGAAACCTCCCAGCCCTTGCGGGAGAACGATGCCCTCTTGCTGCCTGGAGACACGGCTCGTATGCCAGGCAATGGTCTGTGGGGTGAGGAGTATTCCTCTTTTGCTGAAGGGTCAGAGGGCTCAGTCTGTGAGCCTTGGCCACTTTCAGAGAGGTCACCTGTGGACTGACGAGTATCAGTGGAACAGACTGAAGATGGTTCATCATGGGAAGAGAAGTCCTCTTCCTCATCCTCATCATCTTCTGCTTCAGAATCTTCAAAATCAGAGCACTGGTGCCCCTCCAGATCTTCTGACTTGCATACTCGCTCCTCACTGCCCCCTGTTGGGCAGAAACAGATGTGTTCATAAATATAACAAAAGAGTCAACACACAAAACAAATAGATACAACTTAAAAATGAAGGGAAGACTGGGGTCAGTTGTCACACTTTTTGATCCAGTTAATATTTCTAGGTGTAGACTCATTTTTAAAAGTAATTTTGGTACTATTGTTCAAAAGTATAAGGTTGATAAGTCACTTGTGCTCACCAAAAGTAATATTGTGAAATATTATTACAATTTAAAAGAACTGTTTTCTATTTTAATTTATATCAAAATTCCTGTGATGGCAAGGCTGAATTTTCAGCAGCCATTACTCCAGTCTTCAGTGTCACTTGCAGTGTTATTTTAGTATCAATGAGATGCTATTATAGTTTTTATAGAATTAGTTTTTATTTTTAGATTTTCTGTTTTAATTTTAGTTCGAATTTTAGTAATTTTATTGTTAGTAGTTTTTGTTTTAGTACATCAAGTTTTTTTTTAAAATTTATTTTATTTTATTTCAAGTAACAAAAATGTTTTTTATGGTTTTAATTGTAGTTTCAGTTTTAGTTCCAGTTAGCTGCTATAACCCTGGTCACATGATCCTTCAAAAATCATTCTTAATATGCTGATTTGGTGCTCAAGGATTTGATGAATAGAAAATAGACATTTTTGTAACATTATAAACGTCTTTACCATTACTTTTGATCAATTCGATACATCCTTAGTATAACGGTATAACAGCAGTATAAAATGTTTGAAAGGCATGTTGCAACTTGCCTCAACTTGACATTTATGAAAAATTCCCTTGTCCTGAAAACTCTCATAAACTCTCACTAATCCCCCAAGGAAGGCTATATATAACATTCAAATGCAAAAAAAACGTGTTTTTGAGTTGTGCTTCATTCATCAGCTACATTTAAAATCTAATGAATGGAATGTGGCTGAATGAAATGTCCTTGTAGCTCTTAGATGCACTGAGAATGAGAAATGTCAAGAAAGAGACAAAGTAAGAGAGAGAGAGACAATTTTCAGTTCTGGCTTTATATAAACATGGTAAACTGAAGGTCAGTCTTGCTTCTCTTTATGGCAAACTATTTTCATTGGCCTCTTTCAACTTTCAAGTCTGAAAGCACACTGCAAGGTTGACATCACTTTTGCACCAATGAAGAAAACAAGCTAAAAAATATCTAGATATGGTAGAATATGTTTTCGAATTAGTCTATCGCCTAAAGGGTGAGCAATATGCATGTACTTTATATGCACTCACCTGTAACAAAATAAACCATGCCTGAATGTCTTATAATAATTCCTTACTTTATTACTGAGAAACGTGGAAGATGGATTAAATGATCAAGCTGCAGTTATATATTGTCCTTCACAGACCCAATTTCCATCAAACCACAACTCTTTATGGCAACCCTACCTGCTTCCTCAGTCTCCAGCTCATCCACAGATGACTCTGACACTCCCATCTCCAGGCATTTCTTACCATGGGCCTTGGACTTCATGTGTTTGGTAAGGTTCCCTTTGAGGAAAAGGTATTCTCAATGACACAGGATACAAAAATGACACCATTTTGTGATAAGAGAGACAAACACAGAGGAACTGTGATGTAACAGGATGGGATGAGTTTGAAAAAGAGGTATATGTCTACCTTTGGTTTTAAAGGCGAAGCAAAAAAACTAGTACACTCCTTACACAATTTTGTAGGACCCAGCTTTCATTCAGGACACTGCAAATGCAATCAGAGGGATGACATTAAAGTCTTTTAATATACAAACACACCTGTCGACTATTTTTAGAAAGGTGTCGTTGAAAAGGGCCGGTGACTACAGAAAAACTGGTACCTTTGAATGCCCTTCAGTAAGATTGTGTTCTACTTGTGAGGAAGAAAGCAAACAACAAATACAGCTAAGAGAGGTGCAAAGACAAAAGGGTGCTGATGGTTGTGAGAAGTTTTGGAGACAAAATGGAGTGTGTGTGCGAGACAGAGAGCGCATAGGACTTATGTGATTAGGGAGTGCGTGGGTGTGCAAGGCAGAAGAACCGTATGAGCGAAATAAAGGCAGCGAGAGAGACAAAGGAAGCAGGGATAAAAATGCAGGCTGTGGTGAGTTGTTGCCGCAGTTTAAGCACTTAACCACATTGAGAGCCCCGCATAAGCAGATGAATGCAAGAGACCCAGCTAATGAATCCAAAGCTTTTGATGTTTACAGGTCAGCTTTCCTATCTCTCCTTTTTATTATCCATTAATCCATCATTCTGCTGTCCTTTCATTTTTATACTAAAAATGATATTATTCGAATCATCTACTACAAACTAGGGCTGAAAAATTATGAAAATCGTAATTGTTTCCCTTTATAATGCACTCACGACTATTAATGATGTATGGTATTTTGATTATCTCAACAAATAAAAAAAAAAAACAACAGCTCAACAATAGTTCCTAAAAAATAATAACAAATTATTATCCCAGTAATTATTCTATTCATTCAAGGTAATTTTTACTCTTGATGTTTTTACTTGTTAACTGTGCTATGCAGATATAGTTGGCACAACACTAATGAGCAGCAGACTTCAAAAATAAATCTGCAGAGCTCAACGCTCCATCCAAATTCATACCTTTGAGCAAGGTGTAAATTCTGCAGAAACAACTGAAAAAGGCAGGAAAAATGAAGTCCCTAATGGTTCGTAGTCTCACCTGTACCACCATGTCTTTGTCACTCACACAGCAAATAAACAGAAAACCTCAAGCTGAGCAGCAACTGTGCTATAATTGGCATTTACAAAATGCACTTTCATAGTGGGAAGATAATGAATAAATTGCACTTTTAGTACTCTTTAACATGACTTCAGACTGTATATGCTATATAAATATTAGATAATAAAATACTATAAGAAAATGTTGTATATAGGGAAGCTCAACTATTTTTAAAGAATACATTTCCAGTAACAAGCTATTTGTTCCAATAAGCAGCAGTGTACAAAACGTTACATAGCTATTTTTACAATATTGTATTGTTAGTAGCTTGTAGTGTAGCTAACTATTTAACCCTTTGACGCATACGATCACATCGGTGTGATCAGTCTAGTCTGGTCCCTGATGCGTACGATCACACCGGTGTGATTAGAACGTTCAGTGCATCACGTGATCAACTGCTGAATTCAAATCTGCTTTCGCGCTTTTGCTGGCGTGGAGTCAGAACGTACGTGCTGAGCGCTTGTCACATACGTGAACGCCTCTCAAGTCGTATTTACTACTGGGAAATTCGGAAATAATTTTGATACCAGAGTTGGGCGGGTCATAATCTTTAAACATGGTGGAGGGGACAACCATTGCTGCTGTCAATGCTGTTCTCACAACAACTACATCCCTTTGTCTTGTCGCTAAAGTAGTGTATTTTTAGGCTAGATATGAACGATCATTCGAAGCATATTGTATGTTTTATAAGCAGTGAAATGAGCATGTATTTGACCAAAATTCCAGAATTGTCAGCAAACTGCATGTGTTAGCGCGGTGAATGTTTATGATAGTCAACCAATGGGATGCTACATTTTATTCTTTCCAACATTAAATAAGTGGGAAATAGGAAATTTCCGATAGCACGTGAAGGCAGCATAAATCCCACAGCTCGGATTCAGTGCGAACATGGCGGCGCCCATCACCCGGTATAGATCAACTAACACGGTCATTATAAAAGTGCTTAAACTACCAAATACATTTACTTGCACATATTTCTGAGTAGGAATATCAGATATTTCATAATATAGCGAGAACGTTTGTGAATATTAATAAAAAAAAAAAAAGTAAAAATGATATAAAAGCGATCCATGTGTCATACAGCGCTATTGTGGCTGCGGTGCGTCACATGACAAGTATGACGCGTAGCCATGGAAACAATAAGGCTAAACATTCTAAAATAACGGTCACCTACAAAAAACTCACCTTCGGGGCTCAGCTAGTATATCATATACAGCTAGTATATGCGTCACGCCGGATCCGTCTCCTACGTTGTTGTGATTTGATCTGAACGGAAACAGTATATCCGTGTGACGCAGCTGACACAGAACAGCATATGCTGTTTACGTCCAGCGGATATTCTCCAAAATGGCAACAGGGTGATGCGGAGACGACGAATTGTTGAATAAAGTCGTTTTTTTTTTTTTTTTTGTGCACAAAAAATATTCTCGTAGCTTCGTAAAATTGCACATGAACCACTGATGTCACATGGATTATTTTACAGATCTCCTTGCTACGTTTCTGGACTTGGGAACATTTCAGTTGCGTTGCTGTCTATGCAGGGTCAGACGGCTCTCGGATTCCATCAAAAATATCTTCATTTGTGTTCCGAAGATGAACGAAGGTCTTATGGGTTTGAAACGACATGAGGGTGAGTAATTAATGACAGAATTTTCATTTTTGGGTGAACTACCCCTTTAAGCTAGACTGCATCTTATCTACTGTATCTTAACTTGACACGCTACAGTTTCAAAAATAACACGAAAGAATTTACTCACCCTCCCTCAAAAAGGCAAATATTTGCTGCCTCACTTTGCATCAAGGTAGTGGGCACGTCATCAGCACTCTTCTTCTCTTTTTCTCCTCTTTCATTTGCTGGTTCCTCTTTTACTTTGACAGGTGTGTTGGGTGGAGAGGCATGTACCTACACTCCAGACAACAGCAGGCAGTTTATACATTTTTTTTTAAATTAAACAATTTTGGCAATGTGTTGAAATGAAAAATTACAGTGATGTTTACCTCTGACGCACTGGTCACTTTGCTGTCAGTAGGAACCAGCTTGTCCGTGGTTGGTGGTGGAGCTGTAGCCATAGTGTATGTCTCAGCACTATGTTTCTGTTTGGAGCGCAGCAGGGACAGTAATATTTTGGTGGACTGGCCAGGTATATTGGGGTTATGCATGCTAACACTCCATGAGGAATAGACGGATGTTGAACCTCTATGTGTAGAGGGGTTGGGCTTTGTGTAATTCAGGTAGCACCAGCTGACGGATGTAGTGGTGTGCAAACTGGGGTATGAGGGGTCCACAGTTCTCTCTGGACTTGTTACCCTTGGAGCATACCGATGTCCCGCCTCTTTCCTTCCCTCCTCCTTCAAGGTTTCAGATTTGTGTTGGGTGAAGTTCTGCTTGCTTAACTTTTCAGTTTCTATTACTTCCCTTGGATCTTTGGCCCTCCTTGCCATCTCCACTGTTAGCCTCTGCTTAATTTTTGCCTGACTCACCTCCTGAGATTTGTCGCATTTGTTATCGTCATCTTCCTTGTCACACTCTTCTATCTCCTCCTCCTCTTTCACCCGTTTTTGGTGCCGCTGTGCCTCTAAACTGAGTTCTAGACTACCTGCAGGTGACAGCATTCGCTTGCTTCCTCCAGCACCAAGCTGCCCACAGCTGTCATCAGATGAAGCACCTGCTCCATGCTCGAGAGGCAGCGGCAAGGGAATATAGCTCTTGGGGTTAGGTGAGGGCAGCCTAAGGTAAGATCTCTGAAGCTTGTCTTCCTCCAGCTTACCCATGATTACCATAGCTGTGCAGCAGACTGGATGTTGCGTTGTGGCTAAAATTTGTGAGATGGTTGTATACATGGCACTAGCATAGGTAGGAATGTGAGTCTGTAAGCGCACAGGCACTACAAGAGACACCACTGGCATAAACTGTTGAAGACAAGGAGCAATCACGGGATGGGGGTTGTGGCGGATGACTAACTGCTGTTGTGAATGACTGGGAGTATGCAATGAGGAAGGCGATGACCTAAACTCACTGAAAAGAGGCCCTGAGGGGACCTGAATAGTCAGTCCACCTGGCATGGGAAAGCAAACATCCTCAGCAACATCACTTGAATGTAGAGGGAATAAAGTGGTGAGTGGCTGAAGGGGTAATCCCAGGTGTTCTACATATTCTATGGGTCTTGGATGTGGCGGAGGTGGCTCACTGTGAAGGAAGGCTTGTTGAAACATCTGGGTAGAAACGACTGCTGTAGTGACTGGAAGGAATCTAGTGAGCTGACTTGGGGAACAAAAATCAGGGTTTGCTTGTTGTAGGGGGAAAACTGCTGGTGGGAGGGAAAGAGGGGATTGGAAAAGCTGCAAGGTCTTTCCTATATGCTCTGAGCTAAGCCTAGAGGTCCTGCCTCCCATTCTATGCTCTGTGATTGTGAATGGAGGATGACCTGGGTAGGACTGGCAAACAGCTGAGATGCCAGGTTTAGTACATGACTCCTCCTGGTCAGGTTCACCAAGGGTTCCGTGCTTCACCAAGAGACATTTCCTCCTATCCTTCCAAGTAGCAGAAGTGCGCTCGTGAGAGAGAGAGCCATAGTCAAATGACTTACTTCTTGTTTCCTCTACATGTGCAGGGTGTGGAGGACTTGCAGATGCCTGTTCAGAGGTTGAGCGGCGCATCTCTTTGTGAGAATGATGGTGTTGATGGAGACTTGATGGAACAGTCAGCATGTGAGACCCTTGGGAGCTCCAGGTACTACTCTGCATCTCACAGTCTGGCCTTCCTGATTCCTCAAAGGATGCAGATCGACTGGAGGCATGGGAAACATTGCTCTCTTGGCTTGGGCTGTGTGGCAGGGATACTGACTCAAAGCTAGATTCTCCTGATGATTGGGCTGCCTCAGCCAAACGGAGACGCTTCTTCTTTGGCGGTAGCTTCTCTGCAGGGAGCTGAGCCAGACTTTGGCTACGCGGAGGCCACTGGAATTCCTCCACCTTCTCTGACTCTTTAGAGGTGTACGTGTTCGCTGGATGGGAGACCATCTCGGTATCTGGCTCCTCTGTAACCAGAATTTCTGGCACTTGAATGTTGGGTTGACGGATTAACCGGGACATGGAGGCTGGTTTTGGCTCCTGTGATTGCTCGTGTTCTGGCTGTGCTTCCTGATTTGCCATAGAGATGCTTTCCTGTTTTTCAAAGGATCTGGTATGCTGGATAACAGAAATTTCTTTCCAGGGAAAACTCCTTTCTACCTCACTTTGTGAAAGGCCACAAGGTGTGCCCTGATTATCAATACTGCCTAGCATCGATGGAGGCTGGGTGCTGAAAGACACTGCTGTTGGACCTGGACTGGGAGGGTCTTCCTCAATACTTTCTTCTTTTTTTTTCCTCTTGCGCACAGCCATAGCCATTGCTTTAAACTTGTAGCTCATAATTTGTGGCTGATTCTCAGTAAAAGAACTGCCTTCCTCACTTTGCAGACCATGTGGAGATTTACTCATACACGCTAGTCTGTGTGATGTGTAAGAGTCCTGCTTCTTCAAGCGAGTCCCACAAATTTCACACTCATAAAGGTGAAATTCCTTGTCTGGCTTCTTTCCTAATTCTATTTCTTTCAAACTAGAAGGACCTGCATCCTCAATACTGAGGTCCACTCCAACCGGCACCTCAATAGCAGGTTGGCGTCGTAACATTCGTTGATGTGGCCCAATCCTCATTTCAGCCTGCTGATCATCAAACGAATGACTTAGACGAAAGCCGTGTGAAGCTGTATCTGGAGTATTACGAGAAGATGGCACTGATTGACTCCTATAGAGAAGAGCACTGGAGCTCTGACCAGCCAATGTTTCTGTTTCAGCCAAGTACGAGCCAGGTAATTCACTTGCAAAACTATCAGGAACAAGTTGAACAGCAGAGCCGCAAGAAGCATCCGCTTTTGGCTCAAAAACACAGGGTTCTTTGGGTGAAGAGAACTTTACAGACTCAATGCTACTTCTTCTAGAGAGTGAGGAACGTCTTGGTTTGACACTATCAATTTCACTTGTATCCACCACGGCTTCATTTATAGTAATTAGCTTAGTTATATGCTCAATGACTTGTGTCTTAGGAACAGTGAAAGGGATTGATTTTTCCTGTTGACCTGAAGATGATGATAACTGCAGTTGTTGATGTGAAATTCTTTGCTGTTGTCCTAGGCGTCCATACTTTCCTAGAATTATCTCAGCATACGTTTTAGCACTGGCATTTGGTGGGCTCACTTGGGAGAGCTCAGCACTCCCAGAACTGGAAAAATAGCCAGATTCTGTGCTCCCCTTACTGCCAGGACCCAGTGAGGATCGGGTTTCATCTGAAGATGCTCTGGGAGCTCGCTTCCTCTCACTTAGCCTCATTGCTAACCTTTGCTTGACGGCCTGTGAATCCTCAGTTTGGGGACCCTCCTCTACAAATGACAATTCCACTTTACTACTTTTTTTCAGAGTTGGCCTGCCCTGTGAGGTAGATGGTTGGTGTTGCCCAGTCTCATCCTCAGAAGCTGTACTCTCTCCTTCCGTACCCTCTTCTTGTTCATATCCCAAGGCTCCACCTTCCGGCCCAATAAAACCGGTCTCTTCAAGACTTGAGGCTATGCCTGCTTTTATTCGATGTGCATGGGATTTGCGGTGTTTGTACAAGTTGCTTTTGGTCTTGAAGGAGAAGCCACATGGGTCACATGGATAAGGTCTCTCTCCAGTGTGAGATCGGATGTGTTTTTGGAGGACGCTAGGCTTTGCACAAGGACGGCCGCAGTATGTGCACACATATTTCCCTGGTTTTTGGGGCTTACGTTCTCGTCTACATAGGGTGCCTTCCTGTACTTCCACACTGGGCAGAGATTGAGTTTGCTTAATATTATGAATTTGGGGAGATGAATCTCCCAGGGCAGAACAGCTGCCTCTTGAAGGACCAGGTACTTCTGTAAGCTGCCAAGATGATCCACTAGATTGTGACTGTTGCTGCCGCTTCTGCCTTTGGAGCATTTCAAAGCGTTTTGGCTGCCTGTGTTGAAGGCGGCCATGTGATCCATGGACAGATTGTGAGGTAGCTTGCTGCTGTAACTGAGGCAGCTGTGCTGCTAAAAAAGACTCTGATGGCTGCTGTTGCCCACCAGACCGCTTCCCATCGGCTGACGGCTTTTCCTCCGCCTCCATAAGATGTGGGGAGGAGGCCTTAAGAATGCAATGAGAATGCTTCTTTGAGCACCAATCCAATAAACATCATTGCATCAATACTCTTCCGACAGGAAAAAGTCTTTACACTCACTTTAGGGGGCTAATTGTATTATGCCATAATTAATGTAAGATACCGTATGGTGTCTTAACTAACAAAGGCATAATTAAACGGTGTCAGTATGCAGCCGCCATATAAGTGAGTGCTGGTTGTGTGCTATATGTCGCCTCTCCTGTTCACAAATAGCCTTGGTGAAATTCATCTTTGTGTGTCTTTTCGGCTGATGCCTGGCAATGGGGCTTGACAAAGAATGTCTCAAGATGCTTTTGAGGCACTTTCTCTGCTGACATTGAATAATTCTTTAAGACCTATTTGTCTCCCATCTTCAGCTTGTCACATGTTAGAACTTCACTGGCCCTACAGAGACACGGAAACATAAAAGAAGTAGTTAGTGTTGGGTAAGCTTTAGTCTCAGCCTCAGATGTCACGCCCATAGACCGTTGGCTGAACGTCTGATGCATATGGCACACAAAATTGGAAACACTTCAGGAGTTTCAAAGTCGTCATCGGATTGGTTGAATTATACAGGATTTCCTGGAGATATGTGTGTCGCGTTCTTTAACGTTCTGCCTGGAAACAAAGATGCCATGATGTCAAACCCCCTCATGGAAGAAGAAAGCCGTTGTGTTTACTTCTGTGACAATGAGTGCTTATTAGGATCAACTAAACACTGGATTTTCAAAAGTATGTGAAATATTTATATATTTTGCAGCATAGAGTCTTTAAAATATTTCCAAGAGTTTTACACACCGGTATGCTATTGTGGGGACATTTCCACACCCCTAAACATGATGCGGCACAAAACGAAACGTGATTGGTTGCTTTACCTGTCAGTCATATGGCCTCTTGGGCGGTCCTTGGCCATTCAAAGCGGCCAAGGTTCCCACACCATCTGCTGTCAGTCTGAAGGTCTGGCTACATGAGATTAGGTAAGATATTCAAAAATACAGCAAGCTATACTACCAACTACTGCTTAATTAATTTAAAATTATTTAAATTAATCAACTTAAAAGAGATTAATTTGCAAATCATATATTCCTATTCCTAATTCTAAACGGCTATAAGAGAATTCCAGAAAGATAATTCTTTAAAGGGGTCATATGATGCTGCTAAAAAGAACAGTATTTGGACGAGCCGTTTTAGGTAGGCGTGGCTGACTCTTAACTTTTATAAAGAATATCTCTTTGGATTTGAGACTTTAGTCTTTGCAACTTTACAGATCTTCTTTATGCACCAAGAGATTGTAACACTCCAAAGAGAAAGGAAAAATTGAAATCGCATCATATGACCCCTTTAAAATATTCTAATGGACAATGAGACATGCTACTTATTTGCTTCATTAACTGACCTGTAGTATTTCTCTTTTAAACTTCCAAGTTGTTCCTTGCACACACAAGTTGAGACTGGACATTTAACCTTAGCTTTGTAAAAAGCGGCTGTGACAAGGTGTCATCCTTTCAGCAAAAACAAAAACAAACAAAAATGAATGAAAAAAGGATCATAGCTTAGAAGCTGATTTTGTCTATGTACATACATACAAGATGCTATGAAAGCCAGGAGTGCTAGGGGCCATCTCTTTAGTGAATTTCCAAGACTGTTACATAAAATGAACACTGTGGGTAAAACTTATTCCTTATAAGACTAATGATGTTTATCTGCCAGAGGTAATTCAAAGACCACATTTTAGGCTGTTTTGAGATGGACAACAAATCCACAAACAGTAGTTTGTATAGTTTACTTCTGAATATTTTCTCAACTCTCTAAGAAGAAAAGATTTGTCAGAAAAATGGTAATTAATTTTTGTGAATAAATCCAGGGTTCCAGGTTTCTGATTAAACTGGAAAAATACCCTTCTTAATTAGTATCTGAGTCTTGTCCTCCAGTAAACAATATAATACTTTTTTTTCAGGGAAAACATCTTGAGCCCATAATTTAAGCCTAAATCTAACAATAAGAAAAATACACGTAATTAAATATATATCCTATGAAAACAAGTCTTACTAGCTTACACAATTTTACTTCCAGTAAATTTATATATTAGGTATAATTTTACTAGAAAACAACAAAAATATTGGATTTGTGCAATTATTTACTTTTTCAGTGAGGTGCCTTACACATTGCCCATATGTTCACAAAAACTACAGCATCTTAGGTTTCATTACTTGGTGTTCACTGAGGGAAAAGCAGTGAGCAGAAAAAAACTGCTTTCCTCTTGAAATAACTTGACAGATTCTTGACTGAGTTTGCTTTCTCAAACAGCTGCTGCTGGCTGAGTGATGCGCAACAATTTAATGAGCGTTCTCAGAGCAGAGGTAGGCTTTGGTTACAAAGTGTTTTTATCAACAGCAAGCAATTACTGAAGATATAACAATACTAAGACCTTAATCATTATTCATGAAATAGGTATATATTTGACTGCAAAAGGACTGAACCACAAATGTATAATTAACGCACCTGATTTGTACAAGGTTATTACTGCGAATGGGGCGTACAGTTTATTATAGAATTACATTGCTTGATTGTTGGAATTTCTGTCTGGATTTATACAAACGGATTTAAACTAAAAGGGCAGACAGAGAAAGACAAATGTAGATAGGAGACTTTGTTGTTATCACTCTGTAATGGATGTCTGTTCAAACGTCAAATATAAGTTTGAGACAACTTAATGACCTCTGACACGGTATTGATGTGGCTCTTAAACAGACCGATTAGGAGGGTTTCGGATGGGGAGAACACTATGTGAATTATTCATAGCTGTCTATGTGCAATGCACTGGATTGGGAGACCCTCTATTACGACATTTTCAAGCAGATAGAAAATACTGAAAGGAAGTTTGCAGATATGCAGATCTCCAATCATTCATATTCCATCTTAGTGATCACAAAACAGCAGACAAAAAAAAGATCAGACTTTCCATATCTTCATAATTCATATAACTGGAAAATTTGGATATTTTACTAATGATTCATATCACCTTTATAGAAAATTAGAATTGCAAGCATACTGTAAAACACTCACATTGGCAACAATCGACTTGAAGTCAACAAGTCTCCATTTAATTTCTATCAAGAAATAAGTATTAATTTAATATTTGCCTGATTATGTTTAAATCTCACTTGAATTATAATGATGATACTGAAATTGCCCAATAGAGAGAGAG